TATATGTTTTATATGAATATAATTTTTAATTTAATTATTAATTTTTAAAAATATTAATTAAAAATTAAACTTTTATCTTTTAAACAAATTCTCAAAAAAAGAAAAAAAAAGAAAAAAGAGAGGATGATTTATATTGCACTAATTCCATAAATCATATAACAATATCTTATAATTATAGACTTATAAAATGTAATGTAAGATGATAATTATATTATTTTCAAAATAAAAAACCAATCCGAGATGTTTTAGGATTTTTTTCAAACAGGAGCAATTATGAGGAAAGGAGAAATGAACCAGCCTATAGCCTATAGGTTAGAGAAGAACCAATAAATCATAAGTTAAGTATAAATATTTAAGTAATTTGTAAAATTTAAATTTCTAATCAACCCTAATCGACTGCTAAAACCTCATTAGATTTGCAATGTCACTTCGAGATATTCTGGAAACAAGTGCGTGTGAGGGCCGTCATTCTTTTTGGTTATTAACCTTTTCTCCCCAGCTCAGCCATGACGTTGGTGCACAAAAGACTTGAAAAGGGGAAACCATGAAAAGTGAAAACAGTGGCGGTCGTGCGTTAACTCGCGTCACCTGAAAAAAAGATCCTTGGCGTCGCGCGACCTACGCCCGATCGATAATATTTCCCTTTTTTTTTTTTTCTTTTTTCTTTTAATGCAAACCGTCGATAATACTTCAGTAGTATATATAATTATTATCCACATGCAGAAAGAATGAAAGACGAGGCGAGAGAAAGCAGAGGATAGACAACCCTCCACCGTCACTCGGCAGCCCCACTGACCCCAGCGACACAAAAACCGGTGAGAGGTTTTCTCCATCATCATAGTTTTAATCTCCTTCTTAATTTTCTTTGAATTAATTAAATTGAGTTGGTAATATATATACAAAATCTGAGTATATATATGATTGCTCCGGCCACACAGAGAAGACAGAGAGAGAAGTGCTAGCTGAATCAAGTGAAAACAGAGATGGCAAGTTCCAAGTTGGTCGGGAAAAAGGGCGGGGACCTCCAGGTTGTAATAGAGCAGCTTCATTTTCTGATCAAGTGATTAGCTTCATTATAAGCATATATATATATATATATATGTACTGAATATTGTCTTGTTTCCTTCTATA